GGCTTCAAAACGGCCGTGGGCAACCCGAAATGGCCCCGCGCGGCGTTTTCACGCCCTCGGCAAGCGAGGGGAGGGCGCGAAAATGGCTGCCCGGGGCCAGGAAACTTCTCTAAGTGGGAAGTTTAGGGCCGATTTGGAACGCATTAAATGACGTTTAATGCGTTCCAGTGGCTTTTTACTTCCTGCTTAGTGAAGATTTCATATAGCGAAGGTTAATCCGGAACGGATTAACATCGCTATACGGGGCACCACTGTAGTGGGTGATTCTGCCTATCATTCAGTTCTACCCTGCTATTGGGGCACTATTGTTCATTGATCACTTCCTGCCCCTCCTCTCTCTTGTGTGCCTTTTTCCTTGAAGAAGGGCCTTTTTCCAAGATGGAAATTGCCTGAGCACATGCTATCTGATTGTTCTCTCTCCATCCACACTTGCATCCATGCCATCCAGCTTTAGGGAGTGGTTTACCCAGTTTAGAATTGTTCTTAAAAGCTAAAGAAACTTACCTGGAATATGTAAGCCAAAATCTTTCTTTTTCACTCAAATGTTATATTTTGACCTTTGCTACTGAAATGCTAAAGTCTGTAGCTAATAAACCTTTTCTAAAGTTATTACAAGTTAACTCCATGTTTTTGACTCTGTGCTTAATTTGGCACATTGAGGATAATTGGTCAGAACATACGATCTCTAATACTTTGGAGGCTAGATGAAAAAAAAGCAGAACATAGGGAGCAAGCTGTTGGGGGTGGGGAGCAGGCATGGCAAGGAATTGTGCAAGTGTCCTACATGGCAAGAACAGAACTCATTTGGCAAAGAAGGGAAGCCAACTTCACCAGCACATTACATATGTTAGGAAGAACAACCTTCAGAACACGACCAAAGAGCCCGAAAAACCCACAACAACCATCATTGAAGATAATTAGTCAGAACACACGATGATCTCTTAACAGACGGAATCCATGGTGGTGGACAGGGTTTCTGACTGCCAGAGAACTTCACCCTGGGGCCAGGTGAGGAGAATCGTCCGTCCTCGCTGCTCAGCCCTGCCTTCCAGCAGCCCACACCCCTCCTACTCCGCTCTGGGAAAGTGACTTTCCAGAATGCAAATGGGAACACTTGGGGCGCCCAAAGCTCTCCCCCTCAATTTCTCTTTTTCACATGAGTGTGGACGGGCGGGCGCAGGTGGATGAAAGCAACAACCTGGAAATCCCACCAGAGGTGACTGAGGGAAAACAGGCATCTCCTCAATGCCCAGAGCCTGCTCCTTCCAGCAGTGTCCACTGTCAGGTTCACTGAGTCTTTCTACTCTTATGCTCATCACCAAGTTCATGTGACCCAAATTCATGTGACCAGACTGCAAACTGCCTAGTAGCTGTTACTAGCAGCTTCTATGAACATCCCATTCTTGGAAAAAGTTGAATTTTTTGACTCTGAGACAGTAGGCAGGCAGGCTTGCCAATTCTATGTGGGTGGGAACAAAACACCCTCACATATCTTGATATATAATTTGTATCTTTCAGTAGCTGTGCAATCCTTGCTGAACATTAAGGAGATTCTCAACTGAACGCTGCTGGTAACAGCCTTCTCAACATTTCACAGCGAAATCGGAGAGTATTCAGTCATAATTGCTGTAATAAGAAATTGTTTCCTGCCAGGTGGCAATAGTGGGCACCTGGAGGAATAGCAACTTCGTTCTTCAATTTACAATTGCCTTCTGTATTTTCAGGCCACTTGATTTTCTCTTCCATGTTTTCTGCTTTCCACCAATAGAAAATTGCATTCTGTGTTATGACAGTATGCCAAAATATGGAACTGGGCTGGAACAGACAACTAGGCAGCCATAAAATGTTTTAAAACATTAAAAGAGGGCCTACCTGTTACTCTTTCCATTGGCAGAGATTGAAATGAAGAGATCAGGCTTTCATAAAAATCACACAAACAGGAAAATTGGTGGAAGTTATTAGGTATAGGATGTCTGGATGCCCTTTTCAAAAATGAAGTGTGTCAAGTCCAACTATAAAACAAGTTTAGCTATGAAGATCTTTATAGATCTAATAAACATTCTAATTATTGGCTCTTCAAGTTTGAAACCTCAGTTCAGCAATATTTTGAAATTAAACAAGCAGTTCCATCATTCCCATTAATATTGTAGCATACAAGTTTATTAAACCAAATAAAACTTATTCATTCATTATAAAACTGTTTTTCCCTTCCCCCTTCTTTCCTCCCCCCCAGCCCTTGAAAAGGTGTAAAATATATGATGTGGCCCTCATACTGAAAATTTTGGAGACCCCCTGCTTTACATGATATTTCACCTGTCCTGTTTATGTAACACTTTAAAAACCAGCAAAAGGACTGTATAAATAATATGTATGAAACAAAAGGCAAAAACTATTATGTACATAGTTAGTCCTATTCGGTGTCTACTTGGCACTTCTTGGCTTGTCTCTTGTATTAATTAAATGGAGCATCTCTTGTCTCTATCTAGCAATAATCTGCAAGCATTCATGGACAGTATATTCGCGAAGGCTTTCATGGCCGGGATCTAATGGTTGTTCTGGGTTTTTCAGGCTCTTTGGCCGTGTTCTGAAGGTTGTTCTTCTTGACGTTTCGCCAGTCTCTGTGGCCGGCATCTTCAGAGGACAGCAACCTGTGCTGTCCTCTGAAGATGGACAGTCTCCATTTGCCCTGATAGCGTTTCTCCATTGGTACAATGTCTTGGTGAAATTCCTCACCCTGCTTGTTGCTCATTGTTCTGCAGTTCAGTGGAAGAAAATCTAGATGAGAGTGCAAAAAATGTATATCTTTAGTGACATATTGCAACCAAGACTTTTGTGTGGCTTGAGGTGGTTTTCCACCAACAACCTATAGTTATCTGCTTTGTTGTTTTCAAGAAAATTTACAAAAATGTATATCTTTAGTGATATATTGCAACCAAGACTTTTGTATGGCTTGAGGTGGTTTTCTACCAACAACCTATAGATATCTGCTTTGTTGTTTTCAAGAAAATTTATTTCCACTAACTGAAAGCTTTCCATGCCACCTTTTCCTTGTCATGCAGTGCATGGTCAACTGCATCATCTCAAAGAAGTTCACAAGTCTGAGGACCAACAAAGACACCTTCCTTTATCTTAGCTTCACTTAACCTTGGGAATTTTCCATGGATGTACTTTAAAAGTGCTTGTGTTTTGTCTGTGGCCTTGGCAAAATTTTTCATCAGACCCAGCTTGATGTGAAAGGATAGTAACAAAATCTTCCTCGATTCAACAAGTCGTGGGTACTCAATACTTTTCTTCCCAGGCTGCAATGACTCTCGGAGTGGCCAGTCTTTCTTGATGTAGTGAGAACTTTTTGCATGACTATGCCATTCGCAGAGAAGACAGCAGTACTTTGTATATCCTGTCTGCAGACCAAGCAAGAGAGCAACAATCATCAGATCATCATAAAGCTACCGCTGATGTTGGTCATAGTTCATGCACCTCAAAAGTTGTTTCATGTTGTCATATGTTTCCTTCATATGGATTGCATGACCAACTGGAATTGATGGCAAAGCATTGCCATTAGGCAGTCTTCATTCATCTGGGATTGTGAACTACCATATTTTTCCATGTATAAGACGACCCCCACTTTTCCAACCCCAAATAAGAAAATTTGATTGCTGCTTTCCCCCTGCACTTCCTAAGCCCTGCGAAAGCAGAATCAAAAGACTACGGAAGTGGAGGGGGAAAGCAATGATGAAAGGGCTGCAGGATCGCATCCCTTTCATGGCTGCTTTCCCCCTGCACTTCATAAGTCCCGTGGGGTTTAGGAAGTGGAGGGGAAAAGCAGCGATGAAAGGGCTGCAGGATCGCAGCCTTGGTCCTGCAGCCGTTTCATGGCTGCTTTATCCCTCCACTTCCTAAACCCTGCGGGACTTATGAAGTGCAGGGGGAAAGCAACCAAGAAAGGGCTGCAAGATCAAGGGCTGCGATCCTGAAGTGCTTTGATCCCTTCCCCCCTTACTTCTGTGTATAAGATAACCCTCATTTCTTCGTAGTGGCCTCTATTAATTCACACAAATGGGTTTGTTCTGTGCCTGCGCAGGATGTTCGAAACATTCTAAAGCTTAGGAAAAAAGAAACAATTTAGTTCCCCCCTAGGGCACTCGCTCCACCTCCTCAACCTTCTTTTCAGTTCCCTTTTTCTGCCGTTCGGGTAGGACATTAGGAACAACAGAGCAAGCAAGGAAAGTAAATCTTAACTTCTTAGTTATTTATCTATTTCAAACTTCATTTTTTTCTTTTTATTTCTCAGGGCGATAGAACCTTTAACTTATTTTTCCTCTCTTTTCCACAATCTATCATTCTTCCTGCCTCCCCCTCCCCCGGATTCCCCCTTTATTTCCCCCCGTTTTCCCCTTTGTTTTATGGCCCCTCGCGGCTTTAAGATGTTCTCTGTTTGCTTGAGAAAAATCCCGCTTACGGACAGACACAATCAGTGTTTGTTTTGTCTAGGGGAATCCCACCAAACCCAGTTGTGCACCGCGTGCAGGAGCCTTTCTAAACAGGCTATTAAGCTGTGGTTTCAGCGATTAAGCTCCTTCCTCTATGAAAAGACTCTGAACCCTAATATGAAGGTACCATCCCTCCCTTCACCTAATCCTCCTCCTCTTGAGGCTACTAAGACAGCTCCTAGCCCAGTTGAGCAGCCCTTATCCAGCACGACCTCTTTGCTTACCAAATCCAAGAATTCTCACAAGCCACCCAAGCCAGCCTCCACCAAGGTTCAAGCGCAGTCTGATGATCCTACAAAAAAGAAGAAAGACAAAGAAAAGGCTAAGAGGCAAAAGAAGACTGCCACACCGACTAACATACTGTACCTCTTCCCATAGCTCCTATATCAGTGGAGGATTCTTCAAGGGAAGGCATTGGGCTTTTGGACAGAGCGGATCATATCATTCCTCCAGCCCAAACATCTCATACAATTCTAAGCATGTCTCCAAGCTTGGGCTGATTTGGGGCTGATGCACTTTCCAGCCCAGGCAAAACCCCTCTTAGCCCTTGATGTTCAGGGCGGGCAGATACCGAGTCTGCATCTGAACAGGAGTCTGCTGTATGCAGTCCTAAAAAGAGAACAGGGAAGCGCAAACATGCCTCTCCATACCAGCCTTACAGACTGGAGCTGCAATATTACTATCCAGAGGGTCCACCACAATATGTTCACCCGTATTTCGATAGATACCATCCACTGTCCAATATTACTATTCAGAGGGTCCACCACAATATTTCGATAGATACCATCCACTTCCATACCATGGATATGTCTACCAAGAGGATTTCAGAGGATCGACCTACCGTTCACCGACCTGGTATCCTTCCATGGCTCCTCCCCTGGAAACCGAAGGGGATGTTCCTGTGCACCGATTTGATCCATCCCAAAAGAGGGGAATGGTACTGGAAACTTCTGTACCTACCAAGCAATCTGAGCACTCTAGGAGCCTCCCTACGGTAGAGGCTACTACGCTTTACTCTGGCCCCCATGGCCCTGATACCGAACCTTTCTCTGCATCTACTCAATCTGAGGCTGACCTCTTTCTAAGGGCTCCAGTACTGAGACTACATCGCTCACCTTCACCGCTTTTGGCATCATCTCATGATGACAACTCATCATCCTCTAGCGAATCTGAAATACCTGGCGTGAGTGCCACTGACAGCCACCCCCAGTCACCTTCAGAGGACTACACATCATATGCTCAATTTATATTGCGCATGGCTAAGACCTTACAATTTGATGCGCAGATATCCCAACAGGAAAAGGATTTAGTTTTTTCATGATATGGTACAGGACAAAGTGCCTCCTCCTAGCCTGAGCCTCATTCCAGTGTTCCTTAACCTTGTCAAAAACTCTTGCGATAAGTCGCCCCTGACTCTACAAATCCCACGAAAAATCGAGCACCATTACAAAACGCACGGGTTAGACTTGGACTTTTTAGTCAAGTACCCAATGCCTAACTCGATTGTGGTTGAGGCCACCCAGTATAAATCCCATAGCAGGTCCTCCACAACACATGTGAATAGGGAAGGACAGAAAATTGACTCTCTGGGAAAGAAGCTTTACTCTCTTGCTGCACGAATGATTAGAATTTCAAAATACTAGGCTGCAATGGGCGCCTATCAGAAACACCAGGTAGGTGACTGTGACAAGGTCCTTCTCGGTCCGGGGGTGCACTCGTGGTAAAGGCGGGAAAAAGTCGCGGAGGCTGATCATGTTCTTCAAAATCAACCTTTTTATTAGTAACAGAACTTAACTCAACGGCATCAAACGGGTCCAATAAACAATCCTTCGTCAACAGCTTATATTTCTTGGGTCTTACAACATTGACCCTTTCGGGTTCCCCTAAAAGGGAGCCGGCCTGAAACGTTCACGGTCCGTTAAAGATTGCAAGGGGGTACTCCGAACCGCGCATACTGTTCCGCAGCACGGGTGCCTGGCCCAGTCTCCCTCCGGAGGCTTCTGCGGGAACGAAGGGCCAGGACAAATCACTCTCCGTCCACCTGGGTGATTCCAGGGGTACACCTCCACTGTCCATTCTAGGGGGTTGTACCCTCGCCCTCTTCCTCCCAGTATCAATGGATCTGGCAACAAACCTCCGCCAAGTTGTAAGTTGGGAAAGTCCTTCACGATGCCCGGCACCTCTCCCAAATAGAGCATGGGCTCAGTTTGGACCCCTCTATCCACGTACCTCCCAAGCTTCCCGTCAATGGATAACCTAAAAACGCACGCGCTCGCACTCTCCTTTATATCCTCCCATAAAATGAGGTCTAGCTCCGCCCCCCTTCATCCGCTAGACACACTTCTGTAGGTTTTTCTGTCACTCCCTCTGCTTGATCTATTTCAATCAAGATACCCTCCACGCAACTACTCCCTTCCACTGGGTCCTCCTTCATAGAGGACGGCGCACTTCTCTTCACTCCTTCACAGTGACCTAACTTTTTTAGTCTAAAGATTTTAGATAAAAGTATCATCGTATACACGGAAAAATATGGTATATTGAGGACTGCCATAACACCATTGATATTGTTGCAGGCTAAAATTCTGCCTAAAAAGTGAGTACTGCCTAAATCTAGTCTTAGATTTATTCATACATCCAGTCAAATATGCATTTTTGTCATTTCTAGTTAAAATTTAGATCCCTTTCCCTATCCTCTGCCATTCCCAAGTCAAGGATCTGATCCAATAACATATCTTGAAAAAGAGTCAATCAATAATTTTAAGCATCATTTATTTTCTCGGTGATCCAGAATTAATAAAATTTGACTACATTTATTTTGGAAGCACTTTGGCTATAGACCAGTGTAATGTAAGAATATTTAAAGACAGTTGTTCGGGCATTCCAATATACATGGAAATCTTCTGTGATACACACTATCACAGAAGGTTGTGCTGTAGCCCTGCCCCTGACATTTCATGCAACATTCTGACTTTCCTTCAGCATCTGTGTGTGGAACACAGCCATGGATATTTACCAGTGATGTGGCTTTTCCAGAAAAAGTAGAACTGGAAAATTTGCCAGTGCTCTAAATTTTGTTGTTTACTCATTAAGTCGTGTCCGACTCTTTGTGACCCCATGGACCAGAGTACGCCAGGCCTTCCTGTCTTCCACTGCCTCCCGGAACTTGATCAAATTCATGTTGGTAACTTTGATGACACTGTCCAACCATCTCGTCCCTTGTCGTCCCCTTCTCCTCTTGCCTTCACACTTTCCCAACATTAGGGTCTTTTCCAGGGAGTCTTCACTTCTTATGAGATGGCCAAAGTATTGGAGCCTCAGCTTCAGGATGTGTCCTTCCAGTGAGCACTCAGGGTTGATTTCCTGTAAATAATGTTATCTAATTTAACATGTTCAGTTACATTCAAAGACTTTCAAAGCTTTATGTGGAAATAATTTTATTGGAATATTTGTAGTAATGTAAAGAGAACAGCATTATTTGCCTTCTACTTACCAAGAAATGACTGCTATATTTTTAGGACACATACAGTACTTAAAGAGAGTTATATCTCATATATTAATAATTCAAATTTATTTTGCTGAAGTATAACTGTAGTATATACTGTATATATTTCATCCTTCATTTTTGAAGAAGTCCATTTCTATCAGATTTATCATTTAGGAAAAAAGAGTTGTGTGGTTAAAATTGTATGTATGTATTTATTTATTACGGTCAGGCGACCAGCTCATAAAACATATGGCTAAAATATACAAAATACAAATAAGAGTGTATAACAGATAATTGGTTGTATACTAATTACTGTATAGTATAGTGTGGTTAAGATTGATTGAAACTGATTAATGTGCAGGTGATTAACAAGCCCAATATGAACACAGAACATATGGGAGGCACGTTAGGTGGCCCTGGACTTGTTTGGACTCTTGGAATATTACATCCTTGCTTTCTCATTTCCCTCTTCCTTTGTGGATCCTTGATCTTTTTTTTAAAAAAAATTAAAACAGCAACAACCCAGTTGTATGTTCAAGTTCACTTACTCACTGTCTGCACTATTTTTCAGTTCAAGTAGAGAAAAATTTGATTCAATACAACTGGCTGAACATATTTCACTAAAGGATGGATGTGAATCTCTAGGCATTGGCAACTTAACACATTTTGTCTTGACTACTTGTACTTGTGACAGATTGAGAAGCAAGTGATTTTGCGAAATATAAACAAGCTTAGCAGTGTTAATTTGCTACTCTATTCCTCTTTTATTTTCATTGAATTGAAAGAAGTTGCTGTTGGTAGTGGACTACTTAGAATCATTATGGCAATTCTGGACAACATCTGGGTGGTCTAGTATCTGTGAGAGGAGATACAGTATATTCTCTGCTGCTTGCTAAATGATGTATTTGCTTCATTTTTTTGTTTCGCTTGGTGATCTGCAATATCAGTCACAACAGAGGCTGCATCAGTGTCAGACTGGGGGGGACGTTCTTAACTATATCCATACTGTAATTGTATCAAAAGCAGAAGATAATTCTTCTTCTATTAGATGTAGCCCTGTATGTTGATGATCCAAAAATTTGGTGCAGAATTAACTAGATGAGAGCAGAATTCAGATCCATTAGATATTTGTCTCAATATCTCAGGAATATTTGAAAGGTTTGATGTGTTTCCAAGTTTCTCTTGAAGCCACACCAACTGGTGGGAGCAAATTGTATGTTTTTTGAATTTGAACCCAGAATGCATAATTGTAAAGAAGTGCTTTAATCTGCATCATTACTTGAAACACTGCAAGCAGTTCTTGGTGTATAACAAGCTCTCTAAACAATTTGTAGCTGAGCCCATCTACAATACTTTCTGCTGGCAGTAAAAGTGCACTTCCCTTTCCCTGCCTTTCTTTCTATAATTCTTTTCTGAGTTTGTTTAGCAACATCATGAATGCCTTCCAATTGGAGAATATTGTCTTCCTTGTATTCACACTATATATTTCCTTTGCCATATTGAGTGAGGATACTTTGCCTTGCCTTGCAGTTTTCATGTTACTCATATGGTCTGTTACAGGGGCTTCTACCCTGGATGGATCTACCTTTTTATCCTGTTTGATCAATACATTAGCTGTGTATTCATCTGTATGGTGAGAAGATTTTGGTAGCTGTTGCTTTCAGGAATATTGCTTCATGTATAGCAAGGATAATTTTCAGTAAAGGATTTCCCTATATATCTGTCCATCTGCAAGTCAGCTTCAGTGATTCAGATTGACCAGTCCTGGGGGGGGGGACAATTGGTTGAACTCTTGTCATACTCCTTATCTAAGAGAAGATGTGATAAATGGTAACATGAGGGCCAAATTATACAATGGCCAAATTAGTTGGTAATATTCCCTCCAGCGGTTTTTTTTTTTTTTTTTTTTTTTTGGTTATGGAAAGAGGTGTGCCACTTGCAAATATAGCCCAACCATCTCATTTTTCTCTCATCTCATCTATATTTTCTTTTGATGTTTTGTTTCCAAAGCTTGAGAAAAAATCCTGCGAGGAAAGACTGAAAGAACTGGGCAGTCCTGGAGAAAAAGACTGAAAGAACTGGGCATGTTTAGCCTTGAGAAAAGAAGACTGAAGGGAGATATGATCGCACTTTTCAAATACAGTGCTTGAATGATTGCGATAAAGAGGAGGGGCAGGATCTGTTCTCAGTCATCCCAGAGTGCAAGACAACACAATTATAGTCTCAATTAAGCCTGATTTCAGTTGAATATGAAGAAAAACTTCCTAATTGTTAGAGTGGTACAGCAATGGAACCAATCACTTCAGCAGGTGGTGAGCATTCAATATTTGAGGCATTCAAGAGAAAATCAGACAGCCATCTGTCAGATCTGCTTTTATTTGGATTCCTGCATTGAGCAGGGGGCTGAATGTGATGGACTTTTTAAATGTTTTAGACTGAGCTTTAAAGTTACAATACTGTATTTGTTAAAACTATTAAGCTGTTAATTTGTTTACATAGAATTCCTGAAATAGATTTTTCCCAGATGATGTTCCACCACTTCTGTGTAGCAGCTTTCTGTATTGTCTTATATTTTTTCAGGACAGTTCCTATACATTAAGTGTTTCTTCATTCTTGTTGAATTGTTAAAATATTTCTGCTGACTTGCCAATTGTTTTTCTTCTTATATTGTTTTAATTTTAGTGATGTGACACATGAGTTTTCTTCTGTTTTTGCATCATGACAGCTCAAAGTAACCACAAGCTCTAGATTATTAATAAATCTTATACAAACACTTAGAAAAGAATTTATCTGAGGAAAGTGAAACAAAGAGTAATCACATTCTTGGTTTCAGTTTCAATTTGTTATTGAAGAGTGTTAATAATAGAGGACAAACGCACCATAGATAAGTCTGGTCCAGACTTATTCAGAAGTCAACTGCATTGTGCACAGGAAATCGTTATCATACATTATTTTTCAGTTCCCCTACAGGCAACAGGGTGCTTTATCAATGCTTTTCTCCTTAGAAGAATAACTTATAGTAGCTCATCTAACATGATCGACTGCAAAACAACAGACCAGACAATTATGGATACACACAGCTGTATTGGGTGTGGAAACTTTACCACCCCAAATCTTTGCATATACAGTAGCTGTATGTGAACCTGAATCTTAGCAGCCACATATGACATTGGAGACAGGGCTATGTGACAAAACTCCACCTGCATGTTGGATTGCATATTGATAGGAACATCCAAATGGGGTGTTCCCTATAAATGTAATGTATAAAGTGACTCCATTGGAAGGCATTGATTGGGAGTTGACATGGATTGATCTGTAATGCTTCCTTCACGCATGTACTTTTGATACAGGGATAGAATGGACTAGCCCTGTAATAACATGATAGCATGTTTTGGCAGGGCCTGGAATGTGCAAAAGTGACATATGGGGCTTTGTAGAATTAATTGATGCTTCTCATCTGTCTGAACTTTGCTAGTACAAACTCCTCTGATACTGTGTTTTGAAAAAATTAACATCTTAAGGTGCAACTGACATTAAGTAATCTACATCAATGTCAGAGTCATTGTTTTAATAGTCCGCAATGTCTTGTATGCTATGTTTTGTTTTGTGTTTCTTGTGTGGAATACTACTGCCATATATAAAAATATTTGAAATGCTTTAGAAGGGAAAATATTAAAAATCTGAAGTTTGATTACTGCTGTCTCAACTCATATTGGAATGAGGAATTGCAACTAAGAATAGCTGTGCTGGAAAAGCTATATACCGGTACTATGTATGCAAATTGCCAATTTGTATTGGTCTTCCCTATTGGTTTAATGAATTTTTATATATATATCAAATCATTGCATTTCTATGGTTTCGTGTGTGTGCGCACGCATACACGCAATGATTTCATAGTCTGTTCTTTATAACTTCATAGAAAATGAATTTTCATTGAGAGGCATATAGGGACTTCATGTAGACAGTTCTTTTGAACAGAGCAGAAGTCCACGTGGACAGCCACGTACTCACAAGATATTAAGCTTTTTTTTTCCTGCATGAGTTTAAATTATAAGGTTACTGAACAGAAAGATAATTTATCACCACTAATTGCCATTCAAGGATAAAATGCTTCAGAATTTTAATGAAGGGAGCAAAAGACTTTAATAAATTGTATCAAATCCATCTCTCTTTTTGTGAACATGTAATGAAGTTGAATCAAACTGAGAGATTTGTCTTTTATACCTTGAATGATGCAGATCGCAGCCTGTTCTATAGGCACACACAATACTCTGTGAGCTTCCTTTTTTCCTGATACCTTCCTCATTACGCATATAATTTTACTACAGTAGGGCATGACTGTCATCCTTTTATAATCCTGTTTTTATCAGTCGAAGTGTTAATCAGAAAATTACAGCAGCAGAAGTGGAACTGATATACAGTAGTTGATAACTGGGTCACCTACAATAGTGACTATTTCCATATTTGGCAGAAATTGAGTTTCATAATTTGTTCTTCACTGTGCAGGAAAGCATTTTACAGTACAGTATTCTGTTTCTTAAACCTGCCTCAGCGCTCCCTTCCACTGCTTAGCTAGGTGAGGAGCAGAGGAATACTGTAGTTGGTCCTCTCGGTGTTTTGGGACACAACTGCCCTAATCTCTTACCATTAAGCCTGTTGCCTGGAGCACCAGCTGGAGCACCAAATTGTTCTCTGCCCCCCCCCGCCCGGTAAGTTAGGAGCCCCTTTGTGGTCTTGTGCATTGAGGGGCGCCTTAGGTGTGCGGAGAGTGAAAGGCCTTCCCTCTGGCGATGCGCAGATTGTGCCAAAGAAGCCTCGCCATTAAAAAAAAAAAAAGAGGGAGTAACAGAAATCTTGTCTTTCTGCAGCGGTTGCTATATCTGTTTATGTTGGCGATCGTGGCCCTTTGTGGGGGGGGGGGGGGAGTGCAAGCCACTGCCAGAAATCTCTGAAGAGATTTCTCGAGGATACAGGGAGTTGTAGTCAAAAAGGTTCTCAAACTGCGATGTGCGTGGGACTGCACATCGACTTGAAGCCATCCTCTGCAGAAGGGCTGAAAACAGGACGTAGAAGTTAAAAGTCTGGGGGGGAGGGTTGTTGTTGGTGGTGGCGGCCGTGGGACCTGAAAGGGATGCTCGTTGGGGATGGACTGGGGGGGGGCGTGCAGGCAGGCTCCCCCCCCTCCCCGGCCTCTCTGCAGAGGCAAGGGCCCGTTGAGGGCCGACGGCGGAGAGCCTTCCGTGCGCGGCACAGCGGGGGAAAAGGGGCATTTCCTTCCGTCAGGGCCAGTTCCTGCCGGCTTCTCCTTCTCCTTCCTCCCCCTCCGGTGGTGGCGGCGGCGGCAGCAACAACAGCCGTCCACCCCGCCGCCCGTCCGTCCGCCGGCCGCGTTGGCCTTTCCGGTCTTTCCAGCGCGAATCGGTTCCCCAGCGCTGCCGCGACGCCCGGCTGGGCCTTATAGTCCTGGCGGAAGGGGAGCCGGCCTCGCTTCTCGGCGGATCCTCCTCGCCCGGCGCGCCTCGGCCTAGTAGTGCGGGCAGGCCAGCCTTCGCCTCGTCCTCCTCCTCCGCCGGCGGCAGATGAGCGATGC